GACAGATAAAATTCCACATAAACAATACTATTTTTAATATCCCACATAAATTTTATATCTTTAGCATTCCGCAAAAATTTAAAAAAAAGCGTTTTTTGCCTTTCAACAACAGTTATTCCGTTAAAAACTTCATTTGTCCGCACGTAAGAATCACGCACTCCTGGGAACTGAATTCGAAATCTTTAAATTGTACGCGGGCAGCAAACATCGTCTTAGGATTTCAGCTTTTCGTCTTGTCAGGCCCCTGAGATCGCTTTCCCGTCAAGAAATTCGTATACTTTTCCGAGGCGTTCGTAAGTGTGACCTAGGCGCACGCGAATGGTAATATTGGAATGGGAGGGTCGCACAGAAGTAAGCACATATTCCCGAAGTATCAGTTTTCTAGCTTTTATCAGGTTGAAAGTGGGTGAAAAAAAGCGGAAATACACAGACACACGCACATACACAGCCTCTTGCCAATATGCGTTTAGCTTACTGTGGCAGCGCTATAGCGCTGTACAGCAAAAACGCATAACGAGCAACGCGGAGTCCCGGACTTTTTGCAGTAACTGCGAAGGATGGGATGTGCGAAGAAGAAAGGAAAGAGTGAAACTAGCCTAGTTAAGTTTAATACGATCGAATCGAATGGAGGCAGGACGAACTGAAGCCGTTAGGTTTAAATAGCGCGTTGGTTGAACAAACAGTCGAGGAGCAAGGAACGGCATGGGAAAGGCATCATTCCGCTGCCAACATTTATAATTCTGACTGCCATACGGATCATCTTCATGGGCATGGGTTGAAAATGTGCTGCAGACAGCAACAGCATCGTAACAGATAAGCAGTCTCAATTAAAACGTTGAAGCCTTGCAGGCTTCCAATCTGCGAGAGCAGTAAAACAAACCAAGCGTAGAAGTCGATGACGACTGCTGAGACGCTGGCTGTATGTGTTCTGTAAGAACAGGCAAGGTGTGCAGCTGATCCTGATCGCGATGAGCAGTGAAGAACGCTGGCGGCTCAAGCGGCCAAGATGGTGGAGGACGACTTGTCGTGCGACTCGACAATGGCGTTTGGGGTGCTCCCGAACCCGCACCATTCACCGACATTAGAACACCGCGCTCGTGCTGGATTTTCAAATACTAAAATTCAGATTGTTGAGGATGTTTGTTTTAAATTTTATTTTGCATTTGCTTATTGTTACATGTTTTACATTTTCAGTCAGCAAACAATCCGTCACTTCACTAAAGACGTACGGAGTACCACTGCACAAACAAGCGAAAAATCCACTGATCAGAGTGGCGATAATTATTGGAGCGGAAAACTTCCTGATGACCCAGACGGCGGACGCTAAACGAGAACACACAGATAGGTGTCAAGTGAATACAGAAAAAAAACTCAGTTTTTGCCAAATTAATTCAGTTTGCATTAAGGAACCTTTCGCAAAACAAGGCTTTTACGAGAAATGGAATCGCTGAAGGGTAAATGCATAGTTCATAATCATCTGTTTTGGAATATTCTTCCTTTATATTCCCTCGCGCCAGATCAGTATATTTTAAGGTATGCTATTTTATTAAATTACAACAAAATTTCAAATCCAAAAGGACTTCTAGTTGATAAGATACTTCACTACAGTGCCGAAATGGCAACTTTTGAGAAAAGGTAGGATCCTCACTACATACCAATGTCATTTTGAAATCACTAAAGCCTAGCCCCGTTTCAGTTGGTAATCTTTTCAGGAGACGGAACGAATATCAGGATCAACAACAGACTGGCCGTCAGAAGAGAGCAACTGGAGAAGGTGCCAGCTGCACAGTTGTGAAAGCATGTAAATAAGTGCAGTTGAACAAATTATTAAACTAACTTTTAAGGAAAATTTTATGCAGTGTGGCAGTTCCAACCTCGAGAAATTTATGGTTCCGAAATTGCTAGTTTAGCAGAACTGCTCAACAGCCTACCTGTTAAGCAGGACTCAGTCAAAAGGAAAGTCTTGCCGCTTCAGCGGGAAATTAGAAACATACCCGATCAAGACGCATGTACGGATTAGGTGCAACAGATGCCTCCGGGTGAATGAACAAACAACGGTCACCGTACGGACACAGACCAGCCATTGTGTATTTGTCACACAATTTTGTCTTGTATTTCGGATTTTT